TGTCACAGTGGTGTAAATGTAAAATGTGAGGTGTGTTAGAGAGAAAAGGGGTAACCAATGGGGTTTTATGCTAGACTTACAGTAATACAATTGAGGTTTGGCAGCGAGTGGGAACGGGGTGAGCACGTGGGGGAAGGGAGTTAAAGAGAGAGAGAGAGAGAGAGAAAGAAAGTGGTAGAGAAGTGAGGATGGGGGAAGAGGAGCTTGTGGTGGAGCAGGGGCCAAAGGCAGAGGGAGATTTAAACTCAGGGAGACACAGAGAGCAGACAGGCTGCAAGTTTAAACAGCAGAGAGAAAGAGAGAGAGAAAGCAGACAGGCTGCAAGTTTAAACAGCAGAGAGACAATTATACAGAACACAGTAAAATCTTATCTATGATTTAACTTAACCAAGACTACACAAATTAGCAAGTAACAAAACACAATGCAACAAATTTTTAAGCCTAACTTACAGAGTACAATGCAAGCAATTTCCTAAACCTAGCTTAACCACAGCTATGCAAAATGAAATTACAATTTATCTAGATTAAAAGCTAAATCTAACCTAATGGGTGCACCTTATACTAGGGGTAGTTCCAGAGGGCAGACTGGTGTGTGCCCAGGATACAGCTCCAAGGGGGGGGGGATTAACTAGTGGTGACTGCAGCAGTGGAGTGGCTGCAAGCTGGCAGCCTAGGATACAGTCCAGGAAGGCACATGCTTATTTCTAGCAGCAAAGGCGCTGCGGAGCAAGAAACAGATTACAGATACAGACCAAGAAGTTAGCTTGGGTCTGCCTGCTGGGGGAAAGAAAGTCAGCAGGTAAAACAAGGGGTGTGTGCAAGAGGTTTTTCCTTACCGATCCCCAAAGCAGCAGCAGGAACAGCAGTTTCAGCATCAGAGGACTCAGAGAGGACTCGATTCACTTACAATAATCAGGAGATCTCCAGGCACAAATTTGTTGTTTGTGGGAGGGGAGTTTAAAAATGGGGGTACGCTCAAAAACAAATGAGACCGGGGAGAGGGCCCCCAAAGAGATCAGACCAGGTGGCAAAGCAAGGACCTTCTCCGGGGGTCTGATCAGAAAATGTCTGTTTTGAAGGGAAAATTCAGGCAGTTTCCCGCCAGTAACTTTGACTGGCTCCTCTTGATACAGGGGAGGAGAGAAGGCAGGAAAAGATTGCAGGTAAGCATAGGCATGCCTGGGCATCTTCTGAGCCACAGGTATGACTCATATGCTTAGCTCTGTGGCCACTTTAGGTCTTGCATACCTGGGCAGAGCACCCTACACCGAGCCGGGTCCGAACAAAGAAGCTAGACAAAGGAGCGAAAAGCCCCCCCTTCTCTGAGCAGAGCAATGGCTCCAGTCAGTCTGCACAAGCCATTTCCATGAGCAGGGCCAGGCTGTGACTTTGGTCAGTTCCATGGCCGGGGGAGCGGGGGCGGCCACTCAGCACAAACAGAAAGGAAGGGGAAAAAGGAATCCAACAGGGGGACAGCTGTAACAGACAGGTATATCTCCATATATAACTGTCTACACTAATATAATGATTTTCAAAGGTGCTGAGCACTGACAGCTCCCATTGACTTCAATTGGAATTGAGGGTGCACAGTATTTCTGAAAAATCAGATGATAAAAATTTACATATCAAATTGTAGTCTCCCAGTGTTGTTCTATAAGCAGTACATTAACAAACCTAATACTATGATTCCTGGTGCCAGGATTAAAAAAATATACATAAAGGCATTTTCTGCTTGCCTGGTTCTCATGAGTAGTTCCGTAGGGCCAAATTCTGCTTTTGCTGTAATCACAACTATTGAATTATTCTAGATTTACGATGGTGTAATGGAGAGAAGAATTTGCCCCATGGAAATTATTCTGTATGCTGCTGTGACAGAATTTGTCCCACCAGGGGGGAAAAAACTCAGGAATTATAGTTCTGTGATTTTAAACATTTTATCGACTGTCTTTCTGTGTTTTCCATGTACTGTACAATGCAATAAAATTCAGTACTATTATATGCAAAATAAAAGTAGTGCCGTTATCAACTGTGTTTGTCCTAAAACAAAATAAATAGTGACATTTATGCCTATGCTAAATGTATATTTTAACCACTATTTAGATTGTCTCTGGATTCTCTTAGCAAGATGCAGTCCATGGGAAGCTGAATGAAGGAATTTTAGTTACAGCATAATTTTCCAGCTGTTCCAAAAGGGCATGTCATGGTATATGTTTCACAACTGTTGAAAAGCAGTAAAATTAACTTATGAATGGTAATAGCCATATGGGCCCAATTCTGCATTGTGCTGAGGGCCCTGACCTCCCACTGAGGCCAGGGGGAATTCAGGGGTACTGAGTATTTCATAGGGGCCACTCAGCGCCTCCCAGCATTAGGCCGAAAGCCAATAACATCAAACTGTTTCTGCAATCATTAAATAGAATGCATGGCCCATCAGTATGAAACAGTGCCAATGGAAGTCTGCCATACAATGTATGAATTGTGTCTGTTTTTTCTGACATGGACTTGTAAGGTCCCTTGGAGCAATGGGCAGATAGAATGTGAAAAGGCGGCTTGTTTCTTTCCCATCCCCCTGGAGGTGATTCATAAGTGTGAAGTGCCATTACAATGCTAGTAAACTTTTTTTCTAACATTTTCTTTGTAAAAAATATTTATGCTATTTTCCACAGAAGAAATCATCTTCACATATATCAGTGATGGCTGCAGAACTTAAAATGATTCTTTCATTGTCATTCATAATACACTGAAATATTTGCAGGGTTGAATACAGTTGGTCTAGTACCCAAAAGTCTGAGCTCAGCTCTAAATGAATGAACTTAATTGGAAGTGACTGAATGGCACAATATACATCAGGGAAACATAAACTTGCTTATTCAATTAAAAAAAAACATCTCTCTCCCCTCCCACCCAATGTGAAGAACTCTATTACAATTTCATACAGAATAAAAAGAAACAAGAGTGGTACAATATCCTTTCTGAACAGTCCCATCTTGAGAAACAAACATCCCTCAAGTACCAAGTTCTTCAAAGATCCTGAAAGTTTTACTTAGTTTTAATTGAGAAGTAAAGAGGAAGAGGGGTTCGACTCAGTGCCCCAATCAACTCTGTATAGGGTTGCCAATTTTGGTTGAATATACTCATGGAAGCTTCATCACATGACATAATCTTTAATTAAAGATTAATCTTTAATTCCTGAAGATTCCAGGACAAGCCTGGAGGGTTGGCAACCGTAATTCTGTATCAGAGGAAAAAATCCAGGACATCCACCAATACCTTCCAAAATGTGGATTCCTCATCACCCAATATAAAATATTATATAGTTTACTGAGAAGATAAATGTTCTCCTGCACAATGGGTCCAATCTTGCAAATCTCATTCACATGAGTGATCTTTGATGTCAATGGGACTACTAGTGTGAGAAAGGATTACTCGTGTAATTAAAGCAGGGCCGCCCAAAGGATTCAGGGGGCCTGGGGTCTTCGGTGGCAGGGAGCCCCCGCCGCCGAATTGCTGCCGAAGACCTGGCACTTTGGTGGCGGGTCCCAGGGCAGAAGGACCCCCGCCGCAGGTCTTCAGGGCACTTCAGTGGCAGGTCCCGGAGCAGAAGGACCCCCCGCTGCTGAACTGCCGCCGAAGACCCGGAGCAGAAGAAGGTCCGGGGCCCCCAGAGCGAGTGAAGGACCCCGCTCCGGGGGCCCCCGAAAAACTCTCGGGGGGCCCCCTGTGGGGCCCGGGGCAAATTGCCCCACTTGTCCCCCCCCTTGGGCAGCATTGAATTAAAGCTTGAAGAATTACACTCTGGGGCACTGGTATTAACTTTACCATTAGTCACCTACAAAATATGTTGTTAGGGCAGAAGTAACACAGAGCAGTGCCCTTTGCTTCCTGGACCCTTCTGGAATCAGATG